GAACAAATTGAATATTTTAAATAAAATTAATGAGCATCTCGATGGAACTGTACATCGGGGTCATTATTCCTATCTGGCGGATTATCGGATCTATAAATGTCACTTTATAGGGATATTTGTAGAGTTAATCTATAATCTGAGGGTTTTTTAATCGTACTTTCTAGAAATTACGTTTCTACTAAACGCTGGTAACAACCGACATCTGTAATAACATTTGCTTTAGCACTAAACTTAAAATATTCGTAACAGAATAATAGTTAACTTTACACTAGATAGATATATGGATGTAAGTTTTCTTAAGGTATTCAGGCATTTGATAGGACTCCTTGGGCGAGTGGCATAGAACAGATAAATATCCACGAGTGTCATTCGAAACCACCCCGACCGCACGGCCACTGTTTCATAAATACTTATTATTATAATAATAATTGTAATTAGTATTATTATACTTTAAGGGTGAAAAGTGCATTAAGACAGCCCTTCATTAAAGCAAATGGCGAGCAGATTTGTGGACGTCTTTGGTAATAACAGTCTCTTTTTAGAATACACTCTCGATACCACAAGGTTTTAAGGTGATTATTTGTAAGATATTGTAACTGCGTCATATTGTGAATATTATATCAATTATTTATTTTAATCCGTCTAATCACAATATAATTTTTATTTAAAATTTCTTATAATTAAGATAATAAAATATCATTCATGTTCCATATCAATTGATCGATTTACATTTCGGAACGAAATGTAAATCGAAATTATATTGTCATCAGACGGATTGAAACAAATAATTGAAATAAGTGATTATTTGTATTTAATTAGGTTTGTTCTCGTCTATTCATTGTTTTCTGTACTATGTATATATTTCATCTTGTGCTGACTCTAATTGGCTCTTGTCAGCACGTTAAAATAAACTCAAAAAACTAAATTATTAGGCTATTTAGAAGGTCAGCGTAATTAATATGGAGCCAAATGTGAACAGCTGATAAGGATTAACGGAGACGTTTGCACTAATATCATGCCTGCGTAACAAAAAAACAAAACAGAGTCATTATGCGAGTGCGGATTGCCACCGCATTCAGCTCAAAACTCGCTTTGCACCGTAATGTGTGTTGACACGAAACCACGACTTGGAAACAAATGTGGTAACATTTTATACACCACGTCTACTGCACGGCCATTGAACAATATTACACAATTTATACTGATAAAACTGTTGCAGCATAAGTGAAACATATCACATGTGTGTTTAGACCTGTAACAATTCAGACTTCTTCAAATTGAAATAAATGAAATCTTGGTACAATCACAATTTGTTCTGACATTCGAATATAAACGTCGTAATTATACTCTAAAATTATACTTCGCACTTTGCCTTCGGCCATTAACAATTAAAGTACAAAGCTCTAAAGAAATTTGTAACCTAACGCAGAAATTATTTATATTAAGGCATGATGTCTTACTGACACAGAAATCCCAAAAAACAAAGCACCGTCCATTTCGAAAATGGAAACTTGAAGGCACTTGCATCAGGTCTAAGAATTTACATGCCTACGAAGATGGCGGTCTTGAAAAGTGTAGTCTGGTAAAATTTTATCAATGTTTCTGGGGTCCTTGCTGTCTCCATCATCAGGGCGTATACTACTGACCAGATATTTGAAGTTAAATTAAAAATACGTGAAAAAATATCCTATTTCGACCACCGTTGATCAAATATTTATTGCGGAAGTAGACAGTTATTACGGAAAACAAATTTAAAATGCACAGAGCGTCCTCTTGTAGAAACCTGAAGACGAGAGATCTAATTTTATTTAAGCTTTCTTGATTACTGTTCCTTCATAAGAAGCAGTAATCTATTCTCTCGGCAGATGGATGACATCTTGTGTCTGCTGGATTCACTTGCAGGATGGCTTAAAGGATTCCAGTTTAATTACAGAATATAATAAGGGAGATGAAATGTCACGCATTGTTTCCTGAGTGCTTCAAAAGCAGTGGCGTATTTTATTAAAACAACGATTTCGACAATGAAAGTGTGCGCTTTGTTCCAATGAACGTTATTTTGAATCAGGAAATTATTCGCATTGTCGAGAAGAAGGAATATTTTTACCCTTGGTCGTCTATAACAGTGGTATTCAACCTTTTTTGTTCGCGTACCCCCAGATATAATTTCTCTTCAACTCTGTACCCCCAAAAAAGTTGTTGGTGTATAATTCAAGTTATACATAGTATATAATCTACATCTAAAATAAATTTAATAAATTACATTACTGATTATTCAGTGTTTATCATAAAATAATATATACATTTTTTAAATTTCACGTAGCCCCTAAGATGTCTTCGCGTACCCCAGGTTGAATACCACTGGTCTATAGAATTATGAAGGTTAATTCTGTGAGTTGTAAATTATTTTAAAACATTTCTATTGTTAAAAGACTAACAATAGAGTGTTGTACCAATGACGACGGTTGTAGATATACTCGGATTATAACACAATAGCCTATATCATAGATAAACTCTTTTCTGAAATTTAATGCTCCTGAATGCCCAGGAAAGGACATACGACCAATCCTCTTATTAATTTATACAGACATTATTTGTTTCCCTAGAAACATTTACGTAATATCGAATAATATTAAAGCAATGGGCAATATTCTTTACTGTCCTCTTGATGCAAACTTTACCCTGGAAATTTGCCATAATGTTATACGAAGACAATGCCGACTGGAAGACACCAGAGCTACCGGAGAATTCCGTTAAGACCACAGTTCGGTACAAGAAAAGCAATTATGAACAGAGGTTCGTGGAGAGGCAGGTCGCTGTAAAACAGTCTTAAACTACCATTAATGAATTTAGAAGCCTTCCAGCCCCTCTGCTATGTACGAGAAAAGCCAGATCTTCGTACGTTCAATTTTAATTCGTCGAATTTTACAGACATCGATCCCAGGACGAGACCGCTCAGAAAATTTCTGTGACCTCAGGCGAGACAGAAAACAAGACGAAGGGATCACGGAAAGACTAAATAAGTGACAGAATAAGGAGAAGTTATTCAAAAGTTGATATTTTGTGACGGACGCGCCGGGGAAGTTGGGGCGTGATTCAACGAACTGCATTCAGTGAGATGGACACGCGCGCTACCATTGACAACTACTCATTTCCGGTTCACGTGATGCCTCCGCTGAATACAAAACCTCGTATTCCACTGATTTAATTATATTCTACCAAAGCTACATTTCTCAATGTTGACGTTACACGTATTTTTAAGTCCTTTGAAATTTCTGATTCAACACATTCGTAGTTAGAGAATGAATTTGGGGTCCTTCCTAATCTTCGGTCAAACACCCCCTCCCCCCCGACATAGAAACAGAGATAAATGCACACCGAAGACAAATTAAAATTAAACAACAAATTTTAAAACCATTTCAATTAAAATATTAAATTTAGAATTTTTAAATTTCCGTATACATACTTATGCAGATGTCTGACACAGAATTCGCAACTCTGGATTTATTACACTCACTATTTTCAAGTGTGACAAAGGAGTTTGTACACTGAACAAGGAGACAGAAGTGTCTTCTGTCTGTAACTTCACCAAGGTTATTTCAATGTAACGATAAATTGAAAGGAAGGAATTTTCTTCAAACTGAGGGGCTTACAAGTTTCGCAGCAAAGACTCCTTCTACCGTCATAATTAACTTCAAACGTCTCTGCGTAAACAGAACTTTTGATTCTATTAATTAATATCTAAATAACTTGACATCCTCGAATGTATTCTAAGAAATTATTACCACTGACATCAACAGAACATCATTTAATCTTATACCCTGCGTAATGACGAAAGATGTTTGTAAACGCATTACTAATTGAATACAAACAATAATAACATGAGAAATTTAAAGCGCCTTTAAGTAAACAAATTATAAAATATTGACAGATGAAAGAAATTAAGGTCCATTTCACAAATATTCTTCCGACAGAGATTCTAAAACCGGTCTATGTTACGACATCGATGAATTTAATGTATCGTCCCACGGGATTCACCAGTTAGATAAATTGTGATATTCATTTCTACACGGAAGGAAGTTTTCCCTTTGAGATTCCAGCAATTATTTTCTGTAATATTGATCAGTTAATAAGGAAATGGTTTTAAAATAAAAAGTTTTATGTTTCGGAAACAAATTGTTTCACAATTGTGTTCTTGCTTGTGATCTGGCAGGCGGGGGACATAACGTTTTCTATAAACGCTCGTTTCATGTTAATACGAATTCCTTTTAGTCCTCAAAGAGACTATCACAGCTTTCAACCAAATTCATAAATGCCCGCGCTCGACAGTTTTGGAAGAATCTACGCGAATACCGGGAGATGAGCAGCCGGTAACCTACCCCACAAGGCGCCCACATAACCTCTCCTTTATCTGTGTGGCCGTGTGTACACCAAAGCAATACGTAGCCGCAACTTAACTTCAACCGCCGTGCACACCACCGATAATACCAACACACCGTACACCATTGAAATCGTACCGCAACTGGAAGGAAAATTTGAAACTAACTGAAAAGTACTCGCCATGAGTTCGTACACCATTGAAATCGTACCGCAACTTCAACGCAACTGGAGGGAAAATTTGAAACTAACTGAGAAGTACTCGCCATGAGTCACCCTCACATCCTACTTCCGGAAAAGAGGTGCTTTGAAGTAGTACGTCATTTATTGTTTCAATTAGCCGCAGACAGATTTTTTCGAAATAGTGATGTGGAATATTTCCTGAAGGTAGGAACAAAGCTACGTATTAAATATTTCGCATCTGAACGTAAATCATTTGATAGCGATGCTTTTAAGCTACAACACTAATTCTGAACCATTGCATCGGAAATCCATAAAGAATACATAAAATAATTTGCCTTTAGGATACTGAATTTTCTTGCAAAAAAATATTCTCGTAGAGAGAGATTACCAATACGCACAGAGTTAATTTTAGAAATATAAATAACGTGACAACGTTCACTCACCTACTGGAGAGTTCTTTAAAGTTCCCGTCTCAATGCTCGAAAGTCTCGCTGTAGTTCTGAATAACGTGACAGAGGACTCTGCAGTTTTTCCGGCTGAAGTAGTTGGAGTTCGTGGTGAATTCTCAACGGAAATGGTTATCAATTGTCCACCTTGAGTTACCGATGCATTTTCGGTCAAATCGCTAATCATTCGGATGTGTGGTAACTCATCGTCACCATGGAATGGCTTGTTCTGGGCCCGCCCACTTGAAATTATCGATGAATTATCAGTTGTCGTATCATCCAAATTTCTGGACGATCCTTGTTTTGAGGTTTTCATTTGGTGTTCCACTGTTGATCGATCACGTGTTCGTCTGAGTGACGCACGCGTCGAATCTCCTGAATAATTGACCTCGTCTCTTGTCCACGTACTCATCATTTGTCCCGTTGGTTGCTCAGACATTTGGTCGGTTGATATTTCTGATTGTTTATACAAACTTGCGGGTAAATTATTATAAATATTTGTGATATCTTTCAAATAACTTTCTGATGAAGTACCTAATAGGCTACCGTCAGGTGTTTCAGTCCCATTTTCATATGGTACAGTTGAAAGGTTAGAAGATTTGATGGTTCTGTTGTGGACAAAAATCTCGTTAATGGTCCAATATGACCTTGAGACGTCTTTTCCTTGACTCAAACCATCAGTACGTTCTTCCGCAAAACTTGCAGACGAATCTGTGATCATATTCGTTTTGTCATTAACCACTTCCAGCGAATTTCCATTCGTCTGACTGGTGCCACGTGCCCCAAGATCCAGAACTTGAAATCCATCTGGAACAAAGAAACAAACAAAGACTGAGGATGGATGTCTTCATGGATTTTGCGCAGTGTAGTTTGGTAGATATTTGGCCGACATTTAAGAAAGCCTTATTGCCTCCATCAACCCCACGACGAAGCAGCCGAAGATTAAAATTGACGATCATTTAGTGCGGAGGTCAGCAAAGTGCAAATCTTTGCCTCCAATGACCCACACCGACGCCTGTATTGCGCGGAGACCAATTAAATACATGACAATATTAACATTCATGACGTCATTGACGAAAGACAATTCTGAATCACCCTGTATAGCATCGCGATTTCTTACTCCTTCAGATACAGGCGAGTACTTGAATAACTTAGCTTTCCGCTCGTTTCGCTTTGCCCCAGTGGAAAAATATCCCCGATGTGCTTTGAGTGGGAGGACTCAGTGAGTCCCAGAGCGGACATCGCCGCATTGACAAATACGAAACAGAAGTTATAATGTGTTTATAGCGCAAAGTTACGTTAATTCATGGAAAATTTTCTAATTAATTTAACGACCGTAATTAACTTATACAACGACGATTACAAACCACCGACGTCCATCACATATATGCCCTTGCTATATTCAATTATCCTCATCACCCCTAATTAACTGTGTCGAGAGACAAGCGAGATACTTTTATTATGCTAATTAGATGTCTTAATTACTACCAATTTGTGTACAGGAACGTCTAGCTCATTCCATTTTTAACCCACTCATAACGTCCGCCGACTTAATCAGATCAAGAAAACGCGAAGACCTCAACGTCAACACGATAATGACGTCAGTGACCTGAGGATCCAGCGTCCTCTTAGATCTCATCTTCTGTGGGTAAGGAAACAGAAATTAAAGAATCTAATTAAATTATTTGTAATCACTGAAACAAATAAATTAAATGATACCAAATACGAAAAAACACAATTTGTTGTGAAGACAGAAGGTTTATCACAGAATAGTCAACAAAATCCAACCATTAACACTACGCGGAGTCCAATCCATTACATTCGGTACACGTAAGATCCATTAGCCTATGTGTTGTCTTCTCACACAAGTCCTTGTGTTTGAAGTGGCATGTTCCAATGGTAATTTTTAAAAATATAGTCCTGTTCTTTTATTAATACGTGGTACTAGCCCAAAACCATCTTACCTGAAAGGTGGATAAAATGTAACGCAAAAAAAGAATAATGTACACACACAAACGTTAGCGTGGTTTGAGATTAATATATAACCTGTGTACGTTTTGAAAAATAAAAGTCCATGACAAATTTGAACACACGTCATACACGTATTCCCAGGCGTACGTGTCCTCTTCCAACAGCGTTAACAACTCTGGAAACAGTTTGGGTTTCCTATACAAGTTTACATATGATGACAAACAAACACGAAGTTTGCCTTCGGGATCAGACAGCGAACCAATGTTTATCTGCTGTGATGATAGGGGCTTGGAAGCGTCCGGCAGCTACGCGCGAATACCTAACCGGACTAGGAAATACTGCCGGATAACAAACATGGCGGTTGAGCGACACGCAAAGGTCCCTTATTCAAATTTAGATACGGAAACTGGCTCTACTTAATATGGTTCGTCGTGGTTTTCCTCAGTACATCCTGGGAAGTGGAGGGAACGAACTTTAAAACATGCCATCATCGATTTATTATAAATTCTTCCCAATCAACTATTATTTATAAAATTACAGTTCAAGGTCATATAACCTATGACGTCTTCAGATAAGCCAAGAAGTGGATTTAAGAAAACAATTACCGGTCACTGGAAGCCAACGTTCCTCAGCGCTGCACATGGCATCAAAGCATGTCCTATGTTCCGCTGATTCCTCGAACTATTTCAACACCTTCCAAGTCTCAACCTCGAAATTTAGTGAAAATCATTAACGTGATATTGAGGAAAGCCTCGAGGTTCGGCACGAAACATTCTGAAGCACAAAAGACTTAATCAGACCTGCTCCATTTATGTACCGAGCGGAACTTCATTGTTTTGCCTACACATCGCAAGAAAGAAAATTTTAATAACAAAAGCACAGACGAGACTCCGTAGAAGAACCTGGCAAAGTTTACTTCATTCATGAGAATTACTCATATGCTAATAAAGTATGCAAATAATGCTTGACACGTTCACATAAATACAATAGGATTAGAATTACTCATATGCTAATAAAGTATGACACGGGCACATAAATACAATAGGATCACGAGCTAAGCATTGTCTACGAGGCTAAGCCTTTCCAATATGAATAACAGCAGTGCAATACGTGCAAGAACGGGTTAAATACGTCACTGTGTAAGTATGTAAATCCTATCGATGTCTGTGGCATTCGGCGGGCAAGACAGTTTCACTAAATGGTTGATGAAATATGACCTTATCGGGAGGTTCACTCTTTGCTTCGTGTTCGGGAGATCCCGGCTATAATGACCAGGGTTTTTTGTGGTTTACCTCAGTCCCTCCAGAAAAATGCCAGATAGGCCATCACCGATTCCTTCCACATCCTTTACAATTCATTATTCACTGTCATTCACACTTCTGAAAAATCGTGTTTAAATAAAATATAAACAAATAATGGATTTAGTAACCGCACAAAATGTCGGTATCAGTTGTCAAAGGCTTTTATTCCATTCTATTACAGAACCACGATTTACAATACGCTGGGTAAACTTAATGTTTCATTTATGTACGGTATTAATTGACTGAAAGATTTAAATTAAATCTCTTGGAGTAGCTGAAGAGTACCTGGTGCTGTGCAATTGTCCACTTTGATAATGAAATCGATGACACTCTGTGCAAATTGTTATTAGTGGCTTGTGGCAGACTCGGCTGTGTACTGCGAGGAGGTTCCAGGTGGATACATCAGAGACTGGAGCACTACTTTCTGTTCTGCTCATTCTTCAGTCCGTGAAGACAAAATACTAAAATAATAATAATAATATCCTGAGTATTAAAACTTCTACTTTGCATTAGAGAGGATTCTGGTTTGAATCCCGGATGAAATAACCGGGACTCTGCGAAGTTATTCGTGGTTGTCTTCAATTACGTCCGTAGAAAGTTAGATCAGTGTCCTAATAGACTTCACGATCGTTTGCCTCTGCATTCTGCCTATCTTACAGTTCATAAACTTTATGTAATTTATATTCAACGCCACGTACTAACCAGCAGAATGGACAAAGCGTTCTATAACGAACCTTACAATCACGTGATAGAGACCAAGTAATTCATCTCGACTCACAGAATTTAAGCTGAATACCGCAGAATTGCAGAACGGAGCTGCAAATGCATGTGACTTATGTCGGACCGTGGACAGAGTCCTCTGCGTGCTAATTTTGAAACCGGGGCTTTTAGTGGATTGGACTCTTTCCTACAATTGTGACCTGAGGGGAGTAGACTGGCTGTCGTCAGCTGTATTTCACTGAGGAAGGCTCATAAATAAACCTGGTTTTCATGCGATGAAAAAAGTTTCGATCTCATATTCCCCTAAAAGAAAATCCTTTAAATTTTAAATAATATCGCGTGCAGTTATTGATTTATTATCAGCTACATAAATTATAATATCACAACAGTTCTCAGCCAAGATGGCGACTGTAAAGACCGAATACGATATTACCAATACACGAAATAGCCAGAGTCAGTTGATCATTACACTGTAGACTTATTTAATGACGGGTCCATCAGTTAAAGTCTGCGATTTGTAAGGAGCTCTGTCAAGCGCTCAACTTATTAGAATCTTAAGAAACATTAGATCAATGTTGTTCAATAGAAAAGTTTGACGAGATGGTGGCGTGTCTTAGAGCATTTACAAGAACCTATGAAGAATCTCCGCTCTAACCTTTCTTCCAGAATCGACATAAAAGTCTGTGAGACAGACGCTTTAAATTGTCTTCATGAAGGGAATATAACGAGATAATCGATACATAACAACAGTGAATCGATCTTATCCTGCAATATAGTTAATATTCTTCGCAGTTCACAGTATAGGACGTCACAACTATGCAAGAAAATGGATGAAATCTCATCTCAAGACGAAGATTTTAACAAAAAAAAATCTTGTAAGTATTTGTCGACGAACGTTTTGAATTTTATCTTAAAGGCCTGATTTTCAAGTTAAAATCTTCAAACTATTTAAGAACAAAGTAATTTGCATCAAATTTCATTGAACAGCGTACCTAACCTAAATAAGGCCTAAAATGTGTGAAACATTATGCAATACTTTCAAAGAAAATTTTAAATTACAAGTGTTTCGAAAACAGAGCACATTGGAAAATATTGATAACCTGAAACATTGCATCCACTTTAAAGCTTTGCTAGTGTCCAGTATCCAAAGATTAATTAGAATAAAATACACAGTGTTTAAACAAATACCTAAGTAAGCATTCCACTTTTCAACTGAACCCAGCAGATGAAGAAGGACGATGTTTGGCTCCACATTCCATTGGGGTTGTACAAACTACATTGAGGCTAACGAATTTCTGCAGCAAGTCACTGAGACTAACATGAGTATTGGTCGATGCAGTACGAAGATGCACGACCTTAATTTACAAGAATTCGGACGCGAGGAAATTAGACAAGTTGCTTCCAAGGTTCCCTTTTCTCCCACAGGAACAGTCTCGGTTAATTTCTTGGTCCGTTGCTCATCTAACTCTGCCTGATTCTGGGTGTATTAAATATTGAGCCCATGTTTTAAATGCAAATTAGCAGAATTTATATTACAACTTTTATTAAAACTATGATCCTCTATCAACTTCCTCGGTTATTTGATAGCGTAATTCTTTGTGTCGCGGACGAAACTGATGAATGAAATGTCAACGTTGGAAAGGATTTGGAGACTATCCTGAGTGGGGAGGGAAACAAATGAAGGCGAACAATGCGATGGTATAATCGCCTGTGAGATACAATGCCTGGAAACGTCAGATAGACTGAAAATAGGTTAAAATCACAGGCTTTTGCGTTCACTAAAAAAACGTGATTCTTTCAACATTTTCCTGTGTT